TCCGAGGGAGACGGTCAGGACTGGGCCGGGCACCGGGGGCTGGGGACGCAGGAGGGTTATGCACATCCGGGGAAGGACCTTCCACCTCGCGGACGGGAGGCCCATCTGGGCCTGAGCGGTGCCCCTGGCCGGTGGGTCTGCCCCCTCCCGGGACGGCTGGCACCAGAGGAGGGTTCCGGTGATGCTGACTGCATGCAGACCAGGGCAGCGGCCGGCGGGGGCAGGGTGGTGGGCACGGGGTCTGGGCAGGCTGGAGCACTGCGTCAGCCTGGGCGCCTCTGGCCGCAGAGGGGCCGGCTGGAGGGGCTGAGGAGGGCGGGGAGACGGCACCTGGCCCACTCTTACCCCCTTCTCCTCCGGGCTGCTCTAAGGCCAGCACGTCTGCTCAGACAGCATCTGCCTTAAACCGGAAACGGAGGCTGACGGCCAACCACAGGACAACGCCTCTGGCCTCCGCCACCGCCACCTCCGCCTCCACCACCGCCACCTCAGCCTCCACCACGGCCACCTCCACCGCGGGGCCCTGAGAGCGGGGCCTTAGGAGCAACCTCTGGGCCAAGTCCAGCCCCTGGTCTAAGGCGGGTGGAGGCCAGCTCAGTGAACTGATGGCGCTGCTGCTGGGTCCTCAGCCGCCTCACCCAGGCCTCTCCCCCCACCCCCCACCACGTCACCCACCGCCAAACGCCCAGGGCCTGGGAGCACTGCTCCTCCCTCCACCCTGAGGCTCGGCCGCTGGCCTCTTCTGCCTCAGGAAAGGCTGGGAGAGGCCTGAGGGGAAGATGTCCCAGGCAGATGATAGCTGCTCCTCATTCCAGAAATACTTGCTGCGTCTGTGTGCCCTGGGTGCGGCCTGGGGAGGACAAGCCGGTGTGGCCTGGACAGTGCGGCTTGGGGAGGACGGATGGGAGGACAGGTGGGAAGGGACGGATGGGAAGGACGGATGGATGGCTCCATGGCGATGGGCCGGCAGGAGGGTCAAAAGGCAGCAGCCTGGGTCAGACCTCAGCTCTGCCCCTCATCGCGAGGCCAGGCGAGGAGCCTTCCCTCACCTTCTCTCGATTTGTGAATGTCCACGGTCACCATTCCCACCTCTCGTCTGTTCAGATGAAACAGTTTCTCTCCTACTTATTTCTAGATCCATAAAATACAGCGCCCGGCACATGGTATGCCACGTGTTTTGAGTGAAAAATGAATGGTGACTGGAGGATGAGTGTGTGTCTGTATGCATGTGCTTTTGGATGAATGAATGAAGGAAGGAAGGAGGGTGGCTGAAAGGCAGGACTGAGGGTCAGGGAAGTAGAGCAACCAGACAGAGTATCAGAAGGAAGACCAAACAGAAACAGGAAATGTTTAGCGAGCCCGAGTGCGTCTTGGAAACCGGAGGAAGGCGGGTTGGACAGTGGTCGTGACAATGCTCCCCAGAACGGCTCTTACTCTGAAACATTTCCTCCCACTCCGCCAGAAAACAAAGACCAGCCAGCACGGGATCTCCCTGAAAACTCTGTTAGTTTAAACAGTAGCTATTTACTTTTTCTTGATTGATTTGAGAGAGAGAGGAAGGGAGAGAGAATGGAGAGAGAATAGAGAGAGAACGAGAGAGAGAGAGAGAGAACAAGAGAGAGAGAGGGGGAAGATCGGTAGATAGATATTGGTTGTTCCACTTATCGATGCCCTCATTGGCTGATTCTTGCATGTGCCCTGACCGGGGGTTGAACCCGCAACCTGGGGAATCAGGACGCTCCAACAGCTGCCTGCCAGGCCACAGTCGCCGTTTGTACCGGCTCCGGGCTTGCCCACAGCACTGGGCACATCGCGAACACCCCAGAGACCTCTCGCCGCAGTGATCCCCATCTGCACCCGGAGCTGACTTTCATGGTCCAGGCTTGCTTCCCACGGATCCCGAAGGATTTCCACGGGTCCCCACTGATCCGCACAGATCCCCATAGATCTCCACAAATCCCTATGGGTCCCCACAGATCCTCACAAATCCCTAAGGGTCCCCACTGATCTGCACAGATCCGCACGGATCCCCACAGATCCTCACGGATCCCCACAAATCCCTACGGGTCCCCACTGGTTCCGTGTTGGGCAGAGACGGAATCTGAGTGCCAGGCTCCGGGAAGTGGCGGTGACGCTGAGCGAGGCTGGATCACATTCTCTAACACGGATTTCCGTGTCACACACCACTCCAGGTGTGCACTCACCATGTGCACAGCGGATGGCGCGGAAGGCAGCGGGTTTGCCACACACCCGTCTGAGCCCCACAAGGCCTCCTCCTCGCTGGGATGAGCTGTGGGCGTGGGCGGGCTCCCCCTCCCACACTCCTTCCTGGCTCAGTCTGACTGCAGGGCAGCCTCCCTCTCCAGCTCCGCTCAGTCCTGGGCAGGGCTCAGTCCCCAGGGCGGGCTGGGCCTCCTCAGTCCTTCTCCGCTGCCCCTTCTGCTCTGCTCCCAACAACATTCTGCCATTCCAGAATCTGCTCCCCAGCCCTTCCCACCATAGGCAGCGCGGCCTGCTCCCACCTGGAGGACAGCCTTCTCCTGGCTGGACCAGCCCAGCTCAGCACCCCGCCCCTGGGGGCCCCGCCCAGCTCAGCACCCCCGCCCCTGGGGCCCCGCCCAGCTCAGCACCCCCGCCCCTGGGGGCCCCGCCCAGCTCAGCACCCCCGCCCCTGGGGGCCCCGCCCAGCTCAGCACCCCCGCCCCTGGGGCCCCGCCCAGCTCAGCACCCCCACCCCTGGGGGCCCCGCCCAGCTCAGCACCCCCCGCCCCTGGGGGCCCCGCCCCTGTGGCCCCGCCCCTGGGGGCCCCGCCTTCTTCCCAGGGAGGTCTGTCTCTTCCCCTTCAGACCCCCAGCAAACTCCCTGCCCCTCTCCTCTCTGACCACTGGATGCCTATCAGACATGCCTCCTCCTCCCTCTCCTCCCTCCACCCTCCACTGCTCCTCCTCCTTCTCTTTCTCCTCCTATTCCACCCCTCACTTCTCCTTCTCTTCCTCTTCCTCCTCCTCTTCCTCCTCCTCTTCTTCCTCCTCTTTTTCTTTCTCCTCCTCCTCCGCTCTGTGCACATCTCTGTGTGTCCTCAGGCCTGGCTGATGTGTTTAATCGTGAGAGCGCGGAGCCCAGCTCTATTTGCCTCACAAACGTCACTGCACCCGGGTTCTAGCCCTGCAGACAGTGGCTCCCGCTGCCAGGGTGCCAGCCCGGCTACAGAGGGGGTTCCGGGGGCCCCTCCAGCCGCCCCTGCTGCCCGGGTCCAGGCTGCGGAGCTGTCTCTGCTCAGCGGCTCCAGGACGGGTTCTGTCTACGCCGGGCTGCTTCCAGAGGGTTCCGCGCTCTTCCCAGGGCTCCGTCCCACGGGCTTCCTGTTAGCTCAGTTCCCGGGTCTGAGCGCCCAAGAGCGCCCACCTCCGGGCTCCAAGGACCAGTGCTGGGCCCACAGTGAGCATTGCAGGCCTGCCGGCCAGGCATGGCCCTCAGAGCGCCATCTGTGATGGCTGCTGTGCGTGCCCCAGCCCCTCCTTGCCCCCCACCCCCATACACAACCCTCTCAGCCCCCAGGCCCTCAGCCATGCCCCTGACGTCTGCCTCGGACGGACATGGGGTGCGCCGTCCAGCTTACACAGCCCGTGGGTAACGGGCTAAGGCTCTGGGCCAGGCCCTCCTGAGAGCCCTGTCCCTGGAGGCCGCTGGGCCACGTGGCTTCGCTTCCATGAGCGAAGGCTGTGAGGCTCCCGACCCGCACATCTCCACCTGACAGGCACTGGCCGGACCCGGGAGCAGGCGGCTGGTGTGGGATGGCGGTACCGGGCGATGGACGGGCAGCAGGCCGGTTCACCCGCCTGAGAACAGGCCCGCTGCCTGTCTAAGCACGTGTAACTCCACTCCAGGCACACGTAACTCTGCTCATCACTGGCCGACCCTCCCCCTCCTGCTTTATAGTTTTCCTGAAAATCAGTTCTTTATCTCCCACCGAGGGTGTTAACAAGGCTCAGTAGTTTTAACAGGATTCCCTACACTTACACACACACACACCCCTACACCACCCAGACACACACTCACCTACACACAGCTATGCACATACCACTCACCTGTACACACACCTACACACACACCTGCAGACTCTCTCTCTCACACACACTCACACTCTCCGCCCTCACCGGTGCCTCCCTCACACACTTTCTTTCCAGTGAGGAGCGGGGCCGGCATGGCAGGGGGTGACCCTCTCCGGTGGGTGCTGAAAGCCAGCCTGCACCCTCACTGAGGCTGGGAGGTGTGGGGAACCACCCATGGCGCACCCACCTCTCCCGTCGCCCTCCCAAGGCGGGACTCGGACCCGGTGCCTCAGGGTCAGCCTGCGGCGGGCCCCTCCTCCGGGCACTGAGGCTGGGGGCGCTGAGTCCAGGGCTGGGCCCGCCGCCCATAAAAGTTTCTTCTGGGCGCCCCGCCCCATGAGGACGTGAGTCTCCGCGCCCCCAGGTCCGATCCCCGCACAGCCGGGCACTGAGCCCCTCCCGCTCCCCACGCGGACCGGAGAGGGGACTCCACAGGACGCACGAACGCACGGCCAAAAACTAGGTAAATAACGAGGCGGCCGAGCCCGTTTCCTTGGCAACCCCCTCCCCCAGCCCCGCCGCGGAGGGAAAAACCACGCGCGGGGCGAGGAGGGGAGCGGCGCGGCCCGGCCCCGGAGCCACTCCATCCCCGCGGCCGGCGCGGGCAGCACGCTCGCGGTTGCCATGGGAGCCCGGGCGGGGAGCGCAGGCTGCGGGGCACAAAGAGGCGCCGGGACCCGAGCCTCCCTCTCCCGCTCCGCCCGGCCCGGGTCTGCGATCGGGGCCGGGGCCGCCAGCATCCCCGCCGCCGGCGCCCCGGGCGCACAAAGGCCGGGCCCCCGCCTCCGGGCAGCCCCGCGCCCCCGGTCTCACTTCCTCCCTGCGCTCCGGTCGCGTCCTGCCCCTCCCCGGCGCCCGGGAGCCCGGGCCGCGGCGGCCGCACGTACCTGTCCGGCCCCGCACGTGGATGGCGGCGGGCGCGGCGGGACGGCCGCCTCCGCTGGGTCCGCGGCCGAGAGGCAGGCCCCGCCCCGGCGGCTCGGGAGAGTGATCCTGGCTGACGTCTCCCCATGTCACTTCCTTTAAAGCCGCCGCCGGCGCGGGAGGAGGGAGGGCCGGGGCGCGGCGCCGCCGCTCCAATGAGCGGGCCCGGCTCCCGTTTGAATCGCCGCCGCCGGAGCCGCCGGAGCCGCCGGAGCCGGACAAAGCGCGCGGCGGCCTTTCCTTCCCGCGGCTCCGGCCCCCAGGGCTCCGCCGAGCTCAGCCCGGCACCGCCAGCGGGGAGCGCCCTGACCGCCCGGGCCTGCCGCCGGCCGGAGGGGGAGGGGGAGGGGGAGGGTGTGCGGGTGAAACCCCCGCACTTGCCAAGCCCTCGCCTCGCCGCCGGGGCTGCAGGAGCCCGCGTTCCACCCCGAAGCGCCAGCCGGACCCGCGCGCCAAACCCGCGGGGAACCCGGGCCGCGGGCGGAGGGCGGGCCGGCGGCCTGGGGACGGCGCTCCCCGCAGAGCGCGCCCCTCGCCGCGGGGCGGGCATCGGAGGGTCCCGTGGGCCCTGGCAGGGAAGCGGCGTCCATGGCTCTGAAACCCCAGAAGCCAGGCCGCGGACATTCCTTGGGGAGCATTTCAGTCTCCAGACAGTCAAGGTGTGTGTGTGCCCCGCAAAGGTTCACCGTGGCAACCAGGGTCACCAACCATGTTTGCGGGGCGCGTGCCTGCTGCGTGCCCTGTGTTCTGGGGCGCTCAGTCCCCAGGGGATCCTGTGCCCCAGACAGCCGGGCACATCCCGGAGCTGCTGAGAGCAGCGCCCCCGAACAGCACCAAAACCGCAAAAGCCGGCGCAAAAGCACCTCTCCAGAGTCAGCTGGTGGCGTTCCTTTGCATGGTGAACGCCAACTTTCTCCAGAATCCGCAAGTCACTTCACTGCGTGCTCCATTTGGGACAGCTACCGCCAATGATTTGGTGGAAACAAACTGATACTAAAGTTGCTGACAATTGCAAGTCTTATTCCCACCTCAACACTGTGTCTTTCTTCCTCCCACTGTAACGATCGTTGCACCGTTACTGCTACAGTAGCCCTTGGCCGGTGCGGACCGTGTTGCTCACAGGCTCAGCTATCTCGGAAACAAAGCTGGGAAATCTGGGAGGAAAAATGACTGCTTCTGAGCATTTGAAGTGGAAGTACCACATTCCCCGATCCACGTGCACGGAGTGCCCTTTAGGGTCTCACTGCATCTCAGGTGTCCTCACTCAGCTCCTGCTATTCACACAGGAACGGAGCACAATTCTTACAGCTCAGTTCCACACACGTTTGAGAACACGGACTGGCTGCGGAAGATGGGAAAACCTTGCCCCGAGGCGCTCAGAGGCTGGGGAGAGACCTGCACACAGGAAGGTCTGATGGATCCTGAATCTGCACGGTTTGGAGGCGGCCTGAGGAGTGGGGAGGGGGCGCTGTCCACACAGCTTCTTAGCTCTCAGCAAACTGCAAAGGGGTAGGCATGCTCGCTACGGAGACGGCAAGAAATGAATGCTCCTAGGAGGAGAGATTTAAAAGCAGACCAGAGGCACAAACGGGCAACTGTGAAAGGAGACACAAAAAGCCAATGAAACAACCACAACAAGCACATGACTCACACGAAGCACCAGCGGGACGATGGCCCTCCTTCGCTCTCCCACCGGCCCAGCCCTCAGACAGCTGCACCCCTGGTCCAGAGGGTGCCGGCCGTGGCTGGCTCCTTGCTGGCGGGTGCGGGGAGTGGGCACGCGATAGGAATGGTGGCTGCTCCGAGGAGACCCGGGAAACGTGTAAATAAGAAAGCTGACTCGCTATCCGGCTCTGATCTTGCACGTAAATAGCTGCGTCTAGCCGCCGAGGTGTCAGATGTTGTTTCCATGCGGCAGGCCGCGGGTCCGGTGTTGGTTCTGCAGTGTTTACGCCCAGCTGGCTCTCACCGGCTCAGTGAGGAAGGGGCAGGGGAAGCGGGCGAGGACTCCTCCTCGACAAATGGTCATGACAAGTCGCTCCCAAACAGTAATGTGGATGCAGAGCCCTCTCCCTCTTTTTTAGTATTTTTAAATTTTATTTTAAAGAGAGGAAGGGAAAGGGAAGAGAAACGTCAATGGGAGAAACACCAATCAGCCGCCTCCTGCACCAACTCCAACCTGGGATCCGGCCCACAACCCAGGCATGTGCCCTGACAGGGAACGGGCGAGCTGGTGGGGCACCAGACGAGGCTCAGCCACTGAGCCACACCGGCCAGCTTTCAGTGCATCTGAAGTTCGTTGTAAGCCTAGTTAAAGACTTGTTCTCGGTATTCACCCAGCTCCTTCCTCTTGGGACTTCCTCAAGGTCACTTTGCCTGGCAGGGGCGACCCGAGAGCGTCATTCCTCCCACACCCAGGCCAGGGGCACTGGAGGTCATAGGGCACATGGCCACTGGAGGGGGGTCATAGGGCACATGGTCACTGGAGGTCATAGGGCACAGGAAGGACAGCAGTCAAGTTCATCAATGCAACAGAAGGAGGCAAAGTGACACCCAGCTCTGACGCCTGGTCTGGGAGACGAGGGGACCAGAAGCACTGACCCAGCACCCTCCCCCCTCCCCCTTGCCCCTTCTCTCCTCTTCCTCCTTCCTCCTCCCCCCTCTTCCCTCCTCCTCCCTCTCCCCTCTTCCCCCCCTCCTCCCTCCTCCCTCCTCCTCCCGGGCACCTCCTCCCACAGTCCCTCCAGGTGCACTAACATGCGGTGGCTGTCCACTCCAGTATCACTGGTTAAAGCCTTAAGAAATGGTTTGCAAGCTTCACAGTTTTAGGCGATCGATGCCAGCTCTAATTGGGGAGCATTCCACATGGAGTCCGAGCTCTCTCAGCAGCCTTCCTCTTTGTACCACCTGTGGGCGTTCTGTGTGAGGCCGCTGCCTGCACTGTGACTGCCTGTGCCCGGCCTGGCATTGGCCTGGGCGCTCACTGCCTGTGCCCGGCCTGGCATCCGGCCTGGGCGCTGACTACGTGTGCCCGGCCTGGCATCCGGCCTGGGTGCTCACTGCCTGTGCCCAGCCTGGCATCCGGCCTGGGCCTACACATTTCATCTTGTCATCCTGTTTCTTCTAGGATCTCAAGGCTTCAACACTCAAATCTGTTTTTAAAAAAACTTGTTTATTGATTTCAGAGAGGAAGGGAGAGGGAGAGAAACATCCATGATGGGAGAGAATCATGGGTGGGCTGCCTCCTGCATGCTCCACACGGGATCGAGCCCGCAACCCGGGCCTGCGCCCTGAGCGGGAATCAAACCTGGGACCCCTCAGTCCACAGGCCGAGGCTCTATCCACTGTGCCAAAGTGGCCAGGGCGACACTCAATTCTTTTTCTTCCTGCTCACTGCCCATCGTTCTGTAGTTCACACTTTTCAGTTCATCTTTCACCTGCGGTGTGAGGTGTTGAAGATGGGAACCATGAGCTCTCCCGGAAGCACCAGTTCAGATTCAGTCAGAAGCCGGGTGCTCCGAGGAGGAGGAGGAGGAGGAGGAAGAGGAGGAGGGGGGGAGGAGGAGAAGAAGGAGGAGGGGGAGGAGGGGAGGAGGAAGAGAAGGAAGAAGGAGGAGAAGGAGGAGGAGGAGGAGGAGGAGAAGGAGGGAGAGGAGGAGGAGGGGGGGAGTAGGAGGAGGAGGGGGGGAGGAGGTGGGGGAGGAGGAGGAGGAGAAGAAGAAGGAGGGGGAGGAGGAGGAGGAGGAGGAGGAGGAGGGGAGGAGGAAGATAAGGCTCCCAGCAGGGGGGGAGGAGGGAGGGCGGTGGGGGGGATAGAAGGGGGGCAGCAGAGACCTCCAGACAGGGAAGTGCTGTCTGCGGGTGATGCTGATTCTAAACAATGTTCCTCACTCGCCTGGAGGCAGGAAGCTGCTTCCCGCTATCTCTGCAGAAGGTTCTGGGCACCGGCTGCTCTGGGCCAGTCCAGAGGCCCTTTGTCCTATCGGACGTTCCGGCAGCCCAGGGTGGCGCGGGCCCCTTTTAAAGCGGCTCTGGTTTTTATTTTTATTTTCTATTTCGTTCACACCCTGGTGTGCCCACCGGTGTCGGAGAAGAGCAGACGGGGCCAGGGCCCCACAAAGGAGACGGATCCGGTTGAGGTCGGGGGCAGCCTTTCCGGGGAGAGAGCCCGTGCTCCGGCCCCGGGGGATTCGGGGTGCAGGGCAGAGGAGGGAGTGGGATGACCGAGGTGTCCTGCCCCTCCCCCCTCGGCCCACACGGGGCGCCCTAAGTCAGAGGAAGGGGTGCCGGCCAGCCAGTGGCTTGGCCGTGCCAGAGCAGGCCTGGGGCAGCTGCCCAGCGGGAACCGTGTCAGAGGGGACAGGCTGGCGGCTTGGGCACACGGAGCAGAAGACACCCACGCGCCGGAGCGGCCAGAGCCGTACGGCCCGGCCCGCTCCCGGCTCTTCCTCCCGGCTCTTCCTGCACCGCCTGGCGGCCAGCTCACAGCGCTGCTCCCGAGGGCCCACCGCACTGTCCATCTTTGAACTTGAACCTTTGAACTTTCTCCTCCCTCTGTATTAGGAGAGCCGCCCTCACAATGGCCACGGTGCTCTGGGAAGATTTGCTCCACGGCCCGCTGAGCCTTGACTAAGTCACCCACGCCCTGACCAGGTCACACACACCCTGACCGGGTCACCCACAGGCCCCGGCAAGGTCACACACTGACAATGTCACCCACACCCTGTCAAGGTCACACACTCCTCTGACAAGGTCACCCACACCCTGTCAAGGTCACACACTCCTCTGACAAGGTCACACACACCCTGACAAGGTCACCCACACCCTGACCAGGTCACCCTGACCAGGTCACCCACACCCTGACAAGGTCACATACACCCTGACAAGGTCCCACACCCTGACAAGGTCACCACACCCTGACCAGGTCACCCACTCTGACAATGTCACCCACTCTGACAATGTCACCCATGTCCTGACCAGGTCACACACAGCTGCCCTGGTCTGGCCCTGTGACTCCGCCCCTCCCACCAGAGCGAGGGACTCACCCGTCACGGTCACGGGGAAGG